ATCATTCTTACTTTTCATGTTACCTTTTTCAAAACTTGCAATTTCATCTTCTGTCATTATTTTAATTTTCGTTCATTAATTTCATTAATTCTTCCCTTCTTTATTTTGATTCTTCTTTCTCCATAGTTATTACGAAACCTTCGTTTACTTGAGTACAGCTAAGTCATATGAGAATATCTATTTTGTGCGCCTGCTGTTGAGCCTCTACTATTATGACCCTGTTTAAAACGAGACTAAGCAAAATAAATGGCCATTTCCTCAGCCTAATGTAAAGCCTGGATTATTTTGACTCCGTGTTAGACAAAACTTTTATCTACCCTTCAGGACGTTGTGTAACCATGGCTCTCCAAAACAGCTTGCCCTTTGTAACCCTTAGTAAAGTTTCTTTTTGCAATACCTCCTTATCCCTGTTCTCCTAACACAGGCTCGTTAGGTAGGTTATATACTGCTTACCTCTGTCCCTCTAGCCTTGAATATATTCCTTGAGTGTCTAATTTTCTAAGCCCTCTTTCCTCGTTATGTGAGCTAGAAATTTCAATTCTCTCTTCTTGATGTTATGTATAAGTGACCATTTTGTTTCCATTTTCTCTAAAACTTCGTCGTTGCTCGCATATTCAGTCTATGGTATCTCAGCATCCTTCTGTAGAACAACATTTCTTTTGTTTTGAACTCGTTTTTCATTTGTGCTGAGATGTTCCAGCATTCACCGCCATATATGAGGACTGATATTACACAACATTTCAGTACTTTTCTTTGCTTCTAACAAAATTATACTGTTTCTTAATACTTTGCTTAGCTTTTGGAAGACATTTTTTGAGCTGTTTCTTTTACTAACAACAATGCATTCTCTCTTACAGTTGATATTTAATACTTTCTATTCGCTTTCCTTCACTACCTCCTGTAAATTCCTCTATTTTCCTTTCTGTGTCTGCGATCAACACTGAACCAACAGCATATCTCATGTCATGACTACGGCAGCCAATAATGAATCCAAGTAGGACTTCTAATTCTCTCAGAATCGCCTCAATGTAAAGGTTGAATAAGTTCGGTGAGAACACATCTCCTTCTCTTACGCCCCTTTCTGTTTTTTGTATATTTATTGAATTCAGTTTTTATCCTCATAGGTTAGATGTTGCACAAGGCCGAAATTATGGGGCACCAAGTGAGGATCGAACTCACTATTCAGTCGTATTAGACCTAGCGGAGCAAGCTTGCTAACCATTACATCACGCCGAAGTACCCTAATGATTTTCTAACGGTCGAAAGTGTGGAGCACCAAGTGAGGATCGAACTCACTATTCAGTCGTATTAGATCTAGCGGAACAAGCTTGATAACCATTACACCACCTCATGGAGACGGTTTGCTCCTAGTATAATTTCTGTATTATTCTGATATTCTTCCCGAATAAATTCAGCTTACCTAGCAATTATTTGTGACGTACCTTGCCAAACACTCATGCATAATCTGTAAAACATAGGAATACATTCTTTCGCATTTGCATTGCGTCTTTTGATATCATTCTGAGAATAATATCGCGTTCATTGTTCAAGTATCTATAACGAAACCGTATAGGGCCAGTAATTGTCTTCCTTGTGTGCCCTCTGGGCATGTAAGATTATGTAAAGTTGTTATCATTTAGCGTCTTTTTTTCTACAGCAACCATTTTGGCATTTTGTACGAAAGCGACTGATTCCAGCAAGCGAAAGACTTGGATGAAACACAGGAATTGCAACTATACTGAATTCATTGATTTACCTTTTGAATATATAGATTCATAGCTAAATTCATAGTCAAAGGCTTGAAAATATGACGTATCGTTTTGAGTAATATAAAACGACATTCATACGTATTTAACAAGAATTCAATTACCTACCGTTTATAAGTCATGAACTTAAATAAAATAAAACTTACCAAGTAGCATGAATCTTAAAATCTATCGAAAACTTAAATATAAAACAAGCAGCCACGGAATTCGGATAGTTGAATTGTTATAATTATTTTCTCTAATTAAAAGCACTTGTGTTAAAAGCACATGAGGTTTATCTCCAAATTATCCAGCTATTGAATATTAAAGAAAATGTGTACCGGGAGGAAATAATGCCGTGTTCTTCAAATGATTCCTCTTAGAACCTCACATATTTATCTTAGCTTTCCTTCCATTTTTCTAAATATTTACCAAAGTTCCTATTGGAACCATTACTCTATACGATCCTTAACTACGGCTGACAGACCTGGACTTTTGAAAAGACATTAAGAATATTACTCTAATGGTCACTGTGAATGTGAATGTCACAAATCCACAGATTCACTCACTGTCGACCGAGTCACTTCACATGAGTCTCTGTTCTGGTTGCCAAGCCAAGTCCACACCGCGCAAGCAGTTCTCATTGCATTCAAAATATCTCATTATATTGCAGGCACATCCCGAAGCAAAACTTTGTAAATATTACTGACCAGGGAAAATAGAAAGATTCTGTTGTAACAAATTTTCGTTATCTTATTTTTTTGTAACCATGTCGCTGATTTAAGTAGAATATAAAAGTAAATCTATTTGCATAATCCGATTCTTAAAAAAATTAAGTCATTACACTCTATTTACTAACGTATTATTTTGCATATATTCTTTAATGACATAGTGACAATTAGAAGTAAAAAAAACAACTTAAGGAGTTAACAATATAAACTAATAAGAAAGATGAATGTTACTGGCAACTCAACTCTCAGTGCGTGCGTTTGTTTTTGACGTTGCAAGTCAAAAGACTGGGGCTACGTGAAGACATGCGTGGTATTTGTTTTTCATATTGCATATCATCGAAAACTCTGCTTCCCATCGATATCTGGCGAGAAATAGAAACAGAACGTTCAGGATAGTGTGCACAAATTGTGGGCGCGTATATACGTTTTGCAATGAACGCATAAAACGTATATAGGCGCCCACAATTCGTGCAAACTCTCCTGAATGGTCTGTTCCCATTTCCCGGTAGATACCGATGGGAAGCAGAGTTTTCGATAATGAAAGCACAGGAGGCACAGTAGAGTAATGGATAGCGGCTCGGTTTGAGGTAGTCTGTAGAGCCGAGTTCGAATTCCAGTCGAATCCGTTGCATTCACTTACGTGCTAATACCCTTGGAAAAGGTATGAATCCTTTTTTCCCGCCCCAGCTATGGGTATATAACAGGACTGACCGGGTTCTATAGCCTTGAGTGGCAACTGGTCTACTGCCGAAAGAAATGCAACCTACTGCGGGAAAAAAATCTCTCGTCAGTCATGCATCGAAAGATACATGATCGTCTAAGCGTGTATCACCCACGACACACAATTATGACTGATTGAACGCACACAAGCATTTTATATCTTATTTTCTCCCTTTTTTTCTTATTACAGACACCGCTTACAAATTTACTTTCAAATGGGGAAGTCCCGCGGAGGTTGACCATTTTTGACGTTGACCAAATCACACTTCAAATTCGACCTTGTGCCACGTTATTATGCGAATGCGCGCATGGAAAATACTCTTCTAAAATATCTAAGATTAGTTTGTTTTGGTTTTTCATATTTGCGTCACGTATCAATTCCGCGCAGAGATATTTGAGCGATACATGATATGCCTTCATTATCTAATTTAATATCTCATTTATACGGAAGCTTTCAAAATCTATCCAGAGTTTGAAAATCGACATTTTATTGATTGATTGATTTTCTACGGTTTATCAACCCTTTGCAGGTTATTTAAAGTCAGAAAAATATTTTTTTTAGATATTTTTAGAGTAATGATCACCAACGTTCTGAAGAGACACGGCACATAGAATATAATATATGCAGAAAATAATAGAAACTAAAGACAGGAAGATGTTAGACGCTCGGATGAGCAATGATGCTCAATTTATTTCTATTGTCAATGATTGTGCGTGACTCTCATCACACATCTCGTAGCAACGAGATGTTGAGTGTATGTATTCATTTAATTCTAGTTTATATTTATCGGGAGGAAAAAAGGATGATGCCCGAGAGTCGTTCAAACGTGTTTGTGCATGTTTCATATTTGATGTTTACATAAGCAGGAGTGATATTCATTCAAACGCATATGTATCATGCACACACATGTCAGTTCTGAATGTTTGAATTTAATGCTTGCCGAGATAAACTCAATATGTTAGTCATAATGAAAACAAGAAACCTGCACATCTTTTATTCTTTGCTCTTCTAAATAAGTGTATCTCATATTTTACAAGTACGTGTATGTACTGATTGCTAGTATATTCATTAGTCAGTTTTTAAAATGCTATACAACTCGCTTCAATCAACTACCGACACTTACCTGACGAGCTTGTGGGGATAGATTGGGGCGGTGGCCTTACCAAAAGGAGTAAAAATTGTTAAAAGGCACCCCAGATAGAAAGTTGTGGAGAGCCATGATCGCTTACATCATGAAGGGACGCTGTATATAGAAATGGATGTTACAAAAGCTGTCAGAAGTCCGGTTCATCATATTACAAGAGGCTGTGTTTATACATGGGTCTGGAAAGCATTTTCTCTTTGTGTCATCTATCTGAAAATTGTGCTTATAAAATCCGGGCTTTAGCGATTGACCATTAAGTGTCACATGAACGGCCAAGCAGGATGTATACTAATTAAGAAAGAAAAATTAAAGTTAATCCAACACTTATTGTGACAACATAGGTTTGATATGAGTGATTCGTTTTTTTGTTTTTTGTTTTTTACAGCTTATCAACCTTTTGTAGGTTATTTAAAGCCGAAGCATATTTTTGGATTGTAATAATAATATTTTTTTTTGCGAGTGAATATTGTATTAACCATTTCTAGAGATACTAATTTTCAAATACAGTTCTTACTAGTTAACCCATATAAGAGAAGAATAGGTGAATTCATACCTTTTTTCTTTTATGATTGAATGTAATGACCCCGACTGGAATTCGAACTCAGTTATCCGACTTCACATTTGAAGAAATCATCCATTACACCACACGCACATTCAAGATTACGGTACCTATTATCCCCAAGCGGTCACCCATTTAGGTACTGACCAGACTCGACGTTGTTTAACTTCAGTGATCGGACGAGAACCACTTTTTACAATGTTATATAGCCGTAAACCTATACGCTAGAATAATACCAGTTTAACATTACCTTAATTTTAAAATGGAAATACGTCGTTGGGTTAAAATGATTATATTATGCAATTTGATATCTTGTACATCGCACTTGCAATGAATCACTTTAATAAAATTATTATAACAATAACACAAATATTTGAATCGTGTGGAGTAATGGATAGCAGCTTGAATTGAGGAATCGGAGAGCCGAGTTCGAATTCCAGGCGAATACATTACGTTCACTTAATTGCTAATACCCCTGGGAAAAGTATGAATCTTCTTCTTATCCATCCTAGCTACGGGTAAATAGCAGGGCAGACCGGGTTCTATAGCCTTGGATGGCAACTGGTCTACCGCAGAAAGAAATGGCAACCTACTGCGGGAAAAAAATCTGCCTCGTCAGTTATGTATCAAAAGATGCATGATCGCCTAAGCGTGTATCACGTATGGCATATAACTGACTGTTGTTGTAGTAGCCGCGCAACTTTCACGAGTCCCGCCAGTTATTACTAAATGTTTTCAATCAAATAATCGGAGCTCTGTTGGCGCGGAAATTTCATCCGTTATTACAAACACAGCGTTTGCAAATCAATGGAAAAGGACTTTACATAAAAAGGCCGATTGACAAGCAAACTAGTGGCAACAACGAATAACGCTCCCAAGCATACTGGTTACTTCGATTTCTTTTGTTTGAATGATCAATGGATCTAGAATGCTGCCAGATGCAGAGAAAGTCATTTTACCCTGAAATATATACACACAACTTTGAGAATATATATTAGTTTTAATATACAGGGTGTTCCAAACATATTTAAAATGTGAATATCTATGTCGCAAACAAAGGAAATTAAATAGGATTCCTATTGAACAATTGAAGATTTATTTACCAAAATTCGAACAAGATGTTCAGAGGGATGTAGATTTTATAATCGACTTCACAATGCTTCATATGCGCACCACCTGTGACACGACAGACGTTGAATCGGTAGTCCAGCTCCTGCTAAACATATCTTGTGTAAGATTCTCCAACGCCTTTGAATTTCTTGTGTCATGTGTGCACTCCAGTTGGTGCATTGTTGTTGAATTTTCTCGAAAATGCACGCTTAACACAATTGTTTGAGTTTGTTCGAGCATATTCTAATACACAAAATGCCTTTTCTTTTTTAGTGAACGTTATTATTCATCCTGAAAAAAGTAAACATTCAGCTTAGTTTTGCACATTTTGCTAAAATTTAAGCTCATTTGAGCGAGAATTGTCTGTCATTAGGCTAAAAAAATATTAACTTTTGTATATTAAGTATAGAATTAAATAAAATGTGGTTAATATTAAACATAGTTGTGTGTGTGGAGAGAGTACAAATTCTTATTTTTATGAAGATATATACATATGCTGGATGCGATGGGTAAATTGTCGTCAGTTTAATTTTTAATTTCGCGCATGCGTGTTGTTTTTGTCTATAAACTCTGTGAGAAAATGAGCAAAGTGATGCAATTCACTCCGTCAGAAATCTGGAAACGGCATTCTTTACTGCTTGACATTTGCACCGAAAGCGCCAACTGTGACGTCGTCCCCGGTCGCAGCGCCAACTGTGACGTTCTATCCTGATCTACCACGGCGCCAGTTGTGACGTGGCCGTTCCAGGGTCCTATCCCGGTCACGACACCAGTTGTGACGTCTCTAAACAGCACCAATTGTGACGTCTTCGCCGCGGCGCCAGCTGTTCGCTCCTCGCTGCTCCGTCCGGGTGTCGCTGCTCCAAACGTGACGTTCGCCTGTCGCGTCAGTCGTGTTGTCCCGTACTGTGACGACCAACTGGCTTGGTATCGGTCGCGGCACCCAAATGTGACGTTCTAACCTTTTTGGTGATTCGGGTGGAATCTGGTTAGATTTGATATCAGCCTCGCCGTTCCCAACCTGCTTCCAACGCCTGGTTACCAAGGTAACTGCACTGATCTCCAGTCTGCCTACCCACGTTGTGAATTGATCTTAGACAGACGAGATCAAACAGGGGTTGGGGCCGTAATGCAAATTGAGTTCAACGGGGGTGATAACACACAAATATGCATAAAAGGAAATAAAATGAAAACTCAAAAAGTTCAAAGTATCAAAGAAAAAGGTAACAAACTTTATGTCTAGTTGTTCGATACATAGGACTGCATCTATCTCCCGACCCGTTCTGTGGATTGTGACACGTCGCTTTCGCTAGGCAAGTTTTAACGCTTCAAGTTGTTTGCTCTCTAAAAAATTTGTGTTTCGGTGTGTCTTTGGACGAAAAACTTATTTCTGTGGTCTGGTTCTAAGTCGCTCTTCAAAATAATTGTTCTTGGTTGAAGAGGAGTCCAAAATTTTGCGTGAATCTTGGTCAGCTATCTTGGTCTATCATCTCTGCCGCCAAGGCCGAACGAACTGTCTTCTGCCCGTCAGGGTCCGAACTACTGGCCACTCATCTCGGCCGTCAGGACCGAACTACTGGACACTCATCTCTGCCGTCAGGCGCGAACTACTGGACACTCATCTCTGCCGTCAGGGCGCGAACTACTGGACACTCATCTCTGCCGTCAGGGCGCGAACTACTGGACACTCATCTCTGCCGCCAGGGCCTGAACTTTCTGGACACTCATCTCTGCCGTCAGGGCGCGAACTACTGGGCACTCATCTCTGCCGCCAGGGCCGAACGAACTGTCTTCTGCCCGTCAGGGTCCGAACTGATTTCTGCCTGTTGGGGCCTCGTTTTTATTGACGCCGTCAAAAACCGGGTTGGGTCTGTTGGCGTCGGGGAGTTCCTCGATAATTCTAAATACATATCCACCTCTTTTATTTCTGGTTAGGGATTTTCCACTCTTTTTCATTTTTGGTAACTTTTTTTTCACTCACTCCCACTTTCTCACCATGCTTCTGAGGGGCGTGAACTGCCCTCCCCACTTCTTCGTAGTGGCTTCTCATACTTATACTCTGGATGGGGGCGTCGACAGTCTTCTTCGTGCGTCATGTGATCACTCTCGGCCAATGAAGTCTTGGTCGGGTATCACCACTTGACCAATGACGTCTTAGTCGGGCGTGAACAACCCGCGGCTTTGTTTCTGAAAAAAAATACCTTGCTTAACTAAAAAAAAATTAATTAAATCGCCGTTATCATGAACGGATAATATGACAACTCTTTGTTCAACACGTGGCGTTTGTCAAGCAGTTTATCGCCAATTCATCAGACGGCTGGTTTTCCGACATGGCCTCAGAAAAGAATTTTCTCCAAGTTTTCAGTCAGTCTGACGTCTCCAAGGCAGAAATAAAAACATTTCTTATTCCATTCATTTTCCTTCGGTTCATGTGTCTGATAACAAAATTTTATTATCGCAGGGGCAAAAAGTTTGTTTTATCGAAAAGAGCTTAATTAGCGAGACTACTTGTGTGGGATTTTAATTTTCCACACCCAGCTAAGGCTCCGTACCTACACCTGTGTTTTGTGAATTATCAAAATCTAACGTTTTCAAGTGGACTTTCCTTGGCGAACATTTCTTGATAACACAATTCCATTCGCGCAGGCCAAGTAGGGAAATCGGTCAATGATTGCTCGCAGGTGGCCTTTAATTTTCATATGTGTCCAAAAGTCTTTTTTTTTGTCGCCTGTTTCTTGTCGTCACTTATCGAAATAACATTTTCGCTGGAATTTTTCCCTTGGCCGGTGGCCTGTGTTTTGATAGTAAGATGCCTTCTCGTACCAATAGTTTAGATAACACTTCCCTACCCACCCAATCTCATTGTCACTCTTTTTACCACGTGCCACTTATCCAAAATAACCTTTTTTTTTATTGCCTCTTAAGCCGCGTGTGTGTGTTCGCCTATGATCCATCTCGCATTACTGAATGATAAAGAAGGCCGTTGAAAATATAACCGAGTTGAGAACGCAAAGAAAAGAAAAAATCATAAAGAACTTGTCTCTCCAAAGCGACTCGGATTGAGGAATCGGAGAGCCGGGTTCGAATACCAGTCGAATTCATTACATTCACTTACGTGCTAATACCCTTGGGAAAGGTATGAATCCTATTCTTCTCCTTCCAGCTATAGGTAAATAGCAGGACAGGCCGGGTTCTATAGCCTTGGATGGCAACTGGTCTACAGGAGAAAGAAATGGCAACCTACTGCGGGAAAAAATCTGCCTCGTTAGTCATATATCCGTGCTGACATTCGATGGATCTGATAGAGTGACCAAAGGATGGTCTTTGTCCGATGCAGATGTGTCAGTGGCTAAAAGAAAGCGGCAATGTGATGGTATGGGCCGGTACTGTCGTCTAAAGCATTATTGGACCATTCAAAGTCGTTAAATGAGTTAAACTGAACGGTACTAACTATTTGCAGTTTTATGGACAAGCCTTTCTTTGAATAGTACATTCGTGTTCAAGCCTCGAAGTTTCAAATAAAGTGTGTATTTATTCACGACAGTGAAACTTCTTATGTATCTAAGGTTACCCGTGAATTTTTATAAGCGAAAAATGTTTACAGAAGAGAAGATAATGGAATGACCATCATCAAGTCCCGAACAGAATCCGATCCAAAATCTATGGTCAATTGTGAAAACGGAGAATCTATGGTGAATTGTGAAGATGAAATTATGTGAAACTGGCAAACAATATGACAGCAAAGTAGGCCTATGGGAATAATGTTGGAAATTGGACTTGCTGAAATAATAAAGTTAACAAAATCAATGGATAATAGATTGTTGTCTGTTATTGAGAAGAGGGTCACGATATTAAGATGTAAATGTTTCACAGACTTATATATGCTTGTTATTAATTCTATTTTAGGTGCTGATCAGTTGTTAATGATTTTATTACATTGTTATTGAAGTAAAAAGTGTGTTTTTGTCTTTTATGTAATAACTTCAGGCTGAAGGTTTTTTAAATAATTTCAATAACTAAAACATGTTGATACTACTTGAAAATTTCACTCAAACTTTGTTTTGATATCTAATTCATTTTTCCTCATCAAATATCGAGGTTTGT